AGGAGACTGAGGGAGAAGGAGATGGAGGGAGAAGGAGACTGAGGGAGAGATGGGGAGGGAGAAGGAGACTGAGGGAGAGATGGGGGAGGGAGAAGGAGACTGAGGGAGAGATGGGGGGAGAAGGAGACTGAGGGAGAGATGAGGGGAGGGAGAAGGAGACTGAGGGAGAGATGGGGGGAGAAAACTGAGTGTGGGATGGGAGAAAAAAAATGAGGGAGGGATGGGGGAAAGAAAACAGTGGGGGGGGGAGGGGGACGACATACACACAGCACCCTGCCCTACACATATCACCCCACAAAAAGACACACACACACACCAACCCCCACACACACATCACCCCACACACAAACACATACACTGTACCCCTAAATGCAGTGTGTGTACACTCAGCAGTCTGTCTGTGTGTGTACACTCAGCAGTCTGTCTGTGTGTGTACACTCAGCAGTCTGTCTGTGTGTGTACACTCAGCAGTCTGTGTGTGTACACTCAGCAGTCTGTGTGTGTACACTCAGCAGTCAGTCTGGCTGTGTGTACACTCAGCAGTCTGTCTGTGTGTGTACACTCAGCAGTCTGTCTGTGTGTGTACACTCAGCAGTCTGTCTGTGTGTGTGTGTAGCAGTCTGTCTGTGTGTGTGTAGCAGTCTGTGTGTGTGTGTGTAGCAGTCTGTGTGTGTGTGTAGCAGTCTGTGTGTGTGTGTGTAGCAGTCTGTGTGTGTGTATTTAGCAGTCTGTGTGTGTGTGTATTTAGCAGTCTGTGTGTGTGTGTGTGTGTGTATTTAGCAGTCTGTGTGTGTGTATTTAGCAGTCTGTGTACTCAGCAGTCTGCTAAGTACACATCCAGACAGACTGCCGAGCACACACACAAACTGCTTAATACACACACAGAGATGTTAATTAGTTCGGACAACTGTATGAGTTGTTTTTTCTAAACTTAAACCTCAGTATTCAGGTTTAAATGCCGTTTTGGGACTTTGAGGGAAAAAAATTGGCATGTATTACGGTTTGGGCACTCGGGCTCAAAAAGGTTCGCCATCACTGCTCTATTCTATGGTTTTAAATAAGACATAATAACAATCATTTGTTCCTTAGCAGTTCTTATAATTAGGTAAATACAACCTCAGATGAACAACAACACATAACTTATTGCACAGTGTCAAGATTTATTTAACAAAAATAAAGCCAAAATAGGGAAACCATGTGTAAAAAACAGGTACACTTTATGATTCAATAGGTTGTAAAACCACCTTTAATAGCAATAACTTGTAATTAAGTAATCGTTTTCTGTATGACTTTATAAGTCTCTCACATCTTTGTGAAGGAATTTTGGCCCACTCTTCTTTACAACATTGTTTCAGTTTATTGAGGTCTCAGGCATTTGTTTATGCACACCTCTCTTAAGGTCCAGCCACAGCATTTCAATTGGGTTGACGTCTGGACTTTGACTTGGTCAAAGTCCAGTCAACAGCTTGATTCTTTTCTTTCCCAGCCATTCTGTTGTAGATTTGCTGGTGTGCTACGGATCACTGTCCTGTTACATAACCCAATTTCAGCCAAACTTATAGCCTCACATTTGACTCTAAAATACTTTGGTATACAGAGAAGTTCATGATTCATTCAATGACTGCAAGGCACCCAGATCCTGTGGCTGAAAAGCAAGCCCAAATTATCACCCCTCCACCATCGTGCCTGACAGTTGATATGAGGTGTTTTTGCTGATGTGCTGTGTTTGGTTTTCAACAAACATGGTGCTGGGCATTATGGCCAAACATCTCCACCTTGGTCTCGCCTGTTCTAAGGACATTACTCCAGAAATCCAGATGCAACTTTGCAAACCTAAGCCGTGCTGGGATGTTCTTTTTAGAGACAAGAGGCTTCTCCTGGCATTCCTTCCAAACGAACTATACTTGTTCAGTCTTTTTCTAACTGTACTGTCATGAACTTTAACATTTAACATGCTAACTGAGGCCTGTAACGTCTGAGATGTAACCCTTGTGTTTTTGGCAATTTCTCTGACCTCGATGTGAATTTTCTGGGATGCTCACTCCTGGGAAGATTGGCAATTGTCTTGAATGTTTTCCACTTTTGAATAATAATCCTCACTATAGAATGATGGACTTGTTTGGAAATGGCCTTATAACCCTTTCCAGTTTGATAGGCATCAACAATTTCTTTTCTACTAATGTATTTCCTTGTTGGCTTTGTGTTAACACACACCTGAATGCTCCAAACTGCTAAAACTTTCACTTTTATAGAAGTGGTAACACTTGATGAAGATTAATCATGGGCATTTGATAAGCAGCACATTTATGATAATAAGCCTCTTAATTCCTATGGCATCTCCATTTTGGGTTGTATTTACCAAATTTTAAGACCTGCTAAGGAACAGATTATTGTGATTATGTCCTGATATGTAAAACCACAGAAGTCAAAGAGTGTGTACTTTCTTTTTCCCATGCGTTTATATGACACACATAGTGTGACCAACTGGACCTCGTCAAGGGTTCTTGGAGGGGCATACTCGACAGCCTCATGCCCTGTGACTATGGCCCCTGTGTTAAACCCTAATTGAAAACACTATTTGTGCCTCTTGGACTGGTAACAGGAACCATTCAAACATTCAAAGCCATTCGAAATGGCATTTGAACACGTGGTGGCAGCCATCTTGTTCGCATGGACCAAACCCACAAATAGACTTCAGGGGCCGCGAATGCCCTGGAACTATTTTCGGCATGAAAACTTTGCGGTTCCTGGTCGATTCCCCAGCGGCACTTAGCCGCAATTCTGTGGAACTATTTTTGGCTATGGGACCATGCCTGCGGTAGGTAAAAACTATGACTTCCATAAAAATTCGGAACCCCTGAACTGATCTGGGTGATTGTTAGATATGTTGGTCACCCAGATCAGGGCTATCAGGGGATGCAACATTTGTGGGTATACCATGTGTTTTGGAGTACTTTTTAGAAATGTGTGTTTTTTGTGTTTGGAGATAATTGAGTTTAGTATAGTGCTTGATTATGTCCTAATTAAAGGGGAAGGCTTATTGTATTGTATGTGGGAGTGTCATACATTGTAAACGTGTTATCATTGGTTTGCAAGTTTGTTTCCCTGTGCCCAAGGTCCATGTGGGCATTCACCTTGCTTGGGGATTATCATAAAAAGCCAGTGTGGCACCATTAAAATTCAGTTCCTGCTTGACCCTCAACATGTAGCCTTGTCTCGTGCTTGTAGGGAACCTGCTTCACAGTTATAACTCTAGCTCTTGTGAGAGCTTCACAGCTATACTCTCTCGAGGAGAGGCCTTCCCACCGAGTCCCTGGATCCAGGAGTTTAATCCAGGACGGAAAGGGACGGCGAGACCCCAACCAAGCTGCGGTGGTTTGTGGGGTCTATGGTGCTTATGGTGTCCAGTGAGGTGCATATGGTCCTCAGCGTCAGCTAGGAAGCATCGATTGGCGTAGGTACCCAGTCAGGGTACCAGGTGGTCCATTACAGATGGCAAGACCCTAACCAAGCTGCGGCGGTTCATGGGATCTATGGTGCTTATGGTGTCCGGTGCGGTGCTTATGGTCCTCAGTGGAAGCATCGATTGGCGGAGGTACCCAGTCGGGGTGCTAGGCGGTCCGTCACACATGGAATACATGAAATTATACCCCAGTGGCTGACCCAATCTCTAAAGACGAATCCCTTCTCATTCCATGAGCTAAACCACAGACTCACTGCTGGCTAAGGGGTTGAGGAAGCTCAGCTAATAAGGTAAGGAGGACATCAATTGTAAGTGTGAAGTGTGAGAGAGAATATGCATTTGTGCATTAGAAAAAGTGTGTTTGTGTGTATTGGTCTGAGAGTTGTGCATGCATGGATGAGGATGTGTAAGTAAAATCAATGCAAATACATTCAGAACTCAGTTGACACCTTTTTTTTTTAAATAAAAATTAGTGCAAACTTAATTTTCTGTAGGCTTTGAGTGGGACTGTTACCATCCCATTTCCAACACCCTAATCTCACAGTAATATTTATTTCCATATGTCAGTGAAACTGTATATACAACTTGGAAATTACAAGCATACCTTGAACACTTCATCACATATGTATAACACTGATTAGTTCATGCTCCCGCAATCCTAAGCATCTCTTTAATACCTTTAATTCTCTTCTTCGCTCTGCTGTGGCCAACCCCCCAAACTAATCTTTCAGCTGATAGCTTTGCATGTTACTTTGCTGACAAGATTAAACAGTTAAGGAATTCATTATCCCCCCTTCACTCCTCTCTATCTCAACGTCACTTGGACCGTACCATCCTAAACCTGCAGGTTTTCTCTCCAGCTACTGAACAGGAGGTGGCTGTGCTTCTCCTTTCCTCTCATCCCACCACATGTCCGCTTGATCCCATCCCGCCTCACCTCATCAGATCTCTCGCCTCTTGACTTGTACACATCTTCAACTGCTCTCTTTCTTCTGATGTTGTCCCTGCTCCCCTTAAGCATGCTACTGTTGTACCCGTCATAAAAAAGCCATCTCTTGACTAAGCTCTAACTATCATCCCATATCCCTGCTCCCTTTTTCCTCAAAGCTTCTGGAAAGACATGTATTTACCATCTGACTTGCTTCCTCAATTCCAACTGTCTCCTTGATCCTTCAGTCTGGATTCTGCCCCCTCCATTCCATGGAGTAATTTTTGATTAATGTTACAAATTATCTAATTACAGTTAATTCTTCTTCACCTCTCTGCTGCCTTTGACACTGTTGATCATGGCCTCCTTCTCCAAACTATTCAATCTCTTGGTCTCTGTGACACAGTCCTCTCATGGTTCTCCTCCTATCTCTCCCAATGTTCATTAAGGGTCTCCTTTTCCAATAACACCTGCTCCCCTCATCCCATCTCAGTCAGAGTCCTTTAAGGTTTGGTACTTGGTCCCCTTTTGTTCTCTATACTGCCTCTCTTGGAAAACGAATTAATTTGCTTGGAATCCGTTACCACCTATACACTGATGACACCCAGATAAATCTCCCCTCCCCTGCTGTCCTACAAAGTGTCACCAATTGCCTTTCGTCCATCTCTGACTGGATGTCCTCCTGCTTTCTGAAACTCAATCTCTCTAAAACTGAGCTTCTTGTCTTCACTCCTCCTGATATGGATCCTCCTCTTTCGCTCTCCTTTCAAGTTAGTGGTACACACATTAACCCATCCTTGCTAGCGTGCATTCTTGGCGTTATACTTGACTCTGGGCTCACCTTTGAGCCTCACATGCATTCTGTCATCAAATCCTGTCGCTTCCACCTTGAAAACATAGCTTGCATACACAAGATACTACTAAGGAGCTTGTCCATGCTCTAGTAAGCTCTTGCATGGATTATTGTAACTCTTTCCTAATTGGTCTTCCCAGAAGCCGTATTACCCCGCTACAGTCTGTAATAAACGATGCCACTAGACTGATTTCCTCTCCTGTCGCTCCTCTCACACCTCAACTCTCAGTCCTTACATTGGCTTCCTGTATTCTATATGAGTCAATTCAAATTACTAATCCATACCTATAAAGCACTGAACAATTCTAATCCCTCTTATATCTCTCACTGATCCATATGTATGCCTCTTCTCGGTCTCGCCGCTCTGCCCATGACCTTCTGCTGTTCAGTAGCGTCTATAGGATTCATTTTTAGGGGGGGGCACATGGTGGGTCAGGGAAAAAAGTAGGGGGGCACATTTAACCCCACCCTCGCCGCAGTTTGACGCCGCCCCTGCCATATGTTAAGCCCCGCCCGACACAATGTGTTTTTTTGGGGTGGGGTTAGGGGGGGGGTTTATAATCCCTGGTGGAGGATTCATTATTTTCCACCAGGGATTATTAAAAAACAAACACATTTCCCTTGATACAGTGCCATAGTTGCCAACATTTGGAAAAAAAATTCCAAGGACATTTTGCAGCACAACTGTCAATTACTACCTTGAAAGTTTACCACACCCACTGCCGCCAAACTCGGCCCACTATGTTGAACCCACATAATTAATCTCCGCCTACTTATCACAGTACAGATTACAGTCTACTCAATAAAGAGAGATTTACAGAGAATTGAGATGGTAATTTTAAACTTAAGGCCAAAGTAGCAGAGTTAGAAACATTATCCCATTCAGCTGCACGATTTCAACCTAATGTTGGAAATTCCCATCACAATTCCCTGCAATTCTCTCTTTATTGAGTAGACCTTTATAACACCAAGTTCCCACCAACAGTACCATGTATCTATGGTATGCGATGGACACATTCACAGCACAGCATCTATATCAGGCAGGTACATTTTATCACTCTTAGGTGAGATGGGTATTGGTGGTGACACTGTCTGTACAAATATAAAAAAAAGACCTTGTGTAGATGTGCTTCAGTTAGAGTTGTGTCAGACACACACACACACACAGAGACTACTGAGTCCATACACACACACACACACACACACACACTGCTCAGTCCTTTCACACCCACACAGACTGCGGAGTCCATATACACACACAGACACAGACTGCTGACTTCATACACACACACACACACACACACACATACAGAGACTGCTGAGTCCACACACACACACACACACACACA